TTCTGTGTCTGTGTTAATTGGTTTCCCTTTTCTTTGTTGAAGAGGGTCTGTGCAATCCTTCTGCCTAGTCCGCCATCTTGCCCCGCCTCCCTACATCTGATTTCTTGACTGCTGCTTCCAGTGGTGTTGATTGTGGAACCAAGTAATACGAAATCTTCGACAGCTTCAATCTTCTCTCCATTTATCGTGATGCTGCTTATCAGTCCAGTTGTGAGGATTTTCATTTTATTTATGTTGAGGTATAAGTTAAACTGCATACTGGAGTCTTTAATCTTCAACAGTAAATGCTTCAAGTCATCTTCACTTTCAGCAAGCAAGACTGTGTCATCTGCAGATTGTTAATAACACTTTCTCCAATACTGATGCCATGTTCTTCTTCATATAGTACAGCTTCTTGGACTATTTGTTCAGCATACAGACTGAATAAGTATGGTGAAAGGATACAATCCTGATGCACTCCCTTCTTGATTTTAAGCCATGCAGTATCCCTTTGTTCTGTTTGAATGACAGGCTCTTGGTCTATGTACAAGTTCCTCATGAGTACAATTAAGTGTTCTGGAATTCCCATTCTTCTCAATGTTATCCATAATTTGTTATGATCCACAGTCGAATGCCTTTCCATAATCAATAAAACACAAGTAAACATATCTCTGGTATTCTTTGCTTCAGCCAAGATCAATCTGACATCAGCAATGATATTCCTCCTTCCACGTCCTCTTCTGAATCCAGCTTGCATTTCTGTAAGTTCCCCGTCAATATATTGCTGCAACTGTTTTTGAATTATCTTCAGCAAGATTTTACTTGCATGTGATATTAATGATATTGTTCGATAATTTCCATATTCTGTGGGATCACCTTTCTTTGGAATAGGTACAAATAAGGATCTCTTCCAGTCAGTTGGCCAGGTAGCTGTCTTCAAAATTGGCATAGATGAGTAAGTATCTCCAGCACAGCATCCATTTGTTGAGACATCTCAGTGGGTATTCTGTCAATTCCTGGAGCCTTGTTTTTCACCAATTCCTTCAGTGCAGCTTCGACTTCTTCCTTTAATACCATTGGTTCTTGATCATATGCCACCTCCTGAAATGGAGGAACAGCGACCAACTGTTTTTGGTAGAGTGACTCTGTGTATTCCTTCCATCTTCTTTTAATGTTTCCTGCATCATTCAATATTTTGCCCATAGAGTCTTTCAATATTGCAACTCAGGCTTGAATTTTTTCTTCAGTTCTTTCAGCTTGAGGAATGCCGAGCATGTTCTTCCCTTTCAGTTTTCTAACTCCATAGTCTTTGCACATTTCATTATAATAATTGACTTTGTCTTCTTAAACTGCTCTTTGAAATCTTCTGTTCAACTCTTTTATCTTGTCATTTCTTCTATTTGCTTTAGCTACTCTCCATTCAAAAGCAAGTTTCAGGTTCTCTTCTAACATCCATTTTGGTCTTTTCTTCCTTCTGTCTTGTTAATGATCTTTTGCTTTCTTCATGGGTGATGTTCTTGATGTCATCCCACAATTCATCTGGTTTTTGGTGGTGTTCAATGCATCAAATCTGTTCTATAGATGGTCTCTAAATTCAGGTGAGATATAATCAAGGTCATATTTTGGCTCTCATGGACTTAATTGTCTTCAGTTTCAACTTGAACTTGCATATGAGCAATTGATGGTCTGTTCCACAGTCAGCTCCTGGCCTTGTTTTGGCTGTAGATATTGAGCTCCTCCATCGCCTCTCTGCACACATGTAGTACACTGGGAAACAAATATCATTTTTCACTTCCCAAGATGCAAATCTTTTAAAACAAGGAACTATAATAAAAAGCCCCTATAATAATATAGACCAAAGTTTATCAGTGGTCACCAGAGACAGGAGGGAGAAGGAAAGGGTAGCCATTTTTTAGGAGTTTCTGTTTATGGTGAGGGGAAATTTGGTAATGATTTGGTGATGGTCCCACAACATGATTAATGTAATTGATACCACTAAATCTTATACCTGAAAAATGCTGAAGTGGCAAATGCTGTGTTACATATGTTCTTACAATTAAAAAAAAATGCATTTGGTCAGGCATATGGGGAAGTGGGTACTCAATACTAGTGAGCAAGTAAATTGACATAACCTCCTCGAAGAGCAATCTGGGTGGTAACTTTTAAAATTTTAAATGTTATATGTGGTACAAGAATGTCCATATAAATAGAACTAACAGGGGGTAAAGTTACGATAACTTCTTATCCACAGCCACCTACCCTGAGGTAGCAAGTTGTTGGACCTGTAGGCTCGGGACCATAGTCATGGGGGATATCAAGCTCAACTGGCACTAACATACTACACAAAAACACTGTTCTACATCCTACTTTGGTCAAGTCGATTCCAACTCATAGCAACCCCATTGGGCTTCCAAGGCTGTAAATCTTTACAAAAGTACATTGCCTCATGTTCCTTCCACAGAGTGGCTGGTAGATTTGAACCACTGACCTTCTGGTTAGCAGCCAAATGCCTTATCTGCTACGCTATCAGAGCTCCTTTTGAGTAGTGACTGGGGTCTTAAAAGCCTACAAGCAGCCAGCTAGATACAACAATTGGTCTCTCCTTGTCTGGAACAAAGAAGAATGAAGAAGATCAAAGATGCATGGACACAATTAGTCCAAGGGACTACTGGACCATCCAAATCTCACTCAGCCTACATGACCATGAGACTAGAAGAACTAGATGGTATCTGGCTACCATTGTCAACTACTTGGAAAGGGATCAGTGCAGGAGGTCCTCAATAGAGTGGGAGAAAAATGTGGAACAAAACTCAAAATCACAAAAAAGACCAGGCTTACTAGTCTGATAGAGACTGGTGAAACTCCTGAGATTATAGCTCCTAGTCATCCCTCGGGCCTGGAATTGAACTCACTCCCATGGCTTCCAGCTAAAGAACAGATAGGCATACAAAGTGGACAATTACAGTAGGCAGATACTCTTATTCGAACAAATCATGGGAGATCAGAAGGGCAGTATTTGCACAGGGAGATAGCTCAAAATAAAGGAATGCATAGGAAAGGACACAGGGAAAAGGTAACCACAAGGGAGAAGTAGGAGGAGAGCTATTACATTATGGGGATTGTAATCAGTGTCATGAAACACAATGTATATGAACTACTGTGTGGAAAATGAATTTGTTTTGTAAACTTTCACCCAAATCACAATTTAAAAAAAAAGAAAAAAAAAAATCCTATGGAGCAGTTCTATACTGTAACACATGGAGTTGTCATGAAATAAATATAATACTTTAAATGCACAAGCCCTTCAACCAAACTATCTCATTTGTAGGGATTTATCCTAAAGACACATTCTTTGTAATAGGCTCTGAAAAATGGGAATTTACCTATATATCTGGTAGCATAGTGCCTAAGGCACTTGACTGCTAATCAGAAAGCTGGCAGTTCAAACCTACCAGCCACTTCTTGGAAAGAAGGTTGGGCAATCTACTTCCATAGTGATACTGCCTCAGCAACCCAAGGAGGGGTCGCTATGAATCGGGGCCAACTCGCCGGCACATAACAACAACATCCACAAATAAAGAGCTAGATAAATAAATAATGATGTATCTACACAACTGACCACTACAGAGCCATTAAAATGTACAATACAAAATGCTTCGAGATACATTGCCCAAGTGAGAAAAGCAGGGTCCAAACAAGGGTGCAAAATATGCTGCCATACAATAATATGCTTATACACACCAAATACAATTCCAAAAGTTTACAGTGACTGCTTCTGGGAAAATAAATTGAGAGGATGGGGAGCACACGTAGATGGTATCTTTTTTATTCAAATATTTGTTTCCTATTTAAAAAACTGAGGTAGATCTGCATGTACTGACATGGAAAGATCCTCAAGGCATAGAGGCATGGGAAAAGAAAGTATAATGTACATTGGACGTGACAAATATACACAAATACACATATGGCCATACTGTACATAACAGACATGTATATAAAGGTACTGAGTAAGGACCACAATGAAAAAAAAAACTGTTAACAGTAGTTGCTACCAGAAAGGATGAAAGGGCTGGAATGGGGAAGTAGGTGGATTCTCCAGGAGTCTTTTGCTTTATGCATTTTTTTTACCATGTTGTTGTTGTTGTTGTTATTTGCCGTCGAGTCGGCCCCGACTCATAGCGACCCCTCCTTGGGTTTCCGAGGCAGTATCACTACGGGAGTAAGATTGCCAATAAAATTATAATATCAGTTGTATGATTAATTTTTGGCAATTTTTATATAAAGTTGGAATTAAGAACTATGAACTATAAGATTCTAAGCATCAAAGATATTTCATATGATTTTTATATCCCCACAGGTCCTAGCACAATGCTTCCTATTACTAGGATTTACTGGCACATGAATGAATAGATGAAAAGGATGCCTTTGTTCATGCCACCTCTATCCACCGGCCTCATACCAGTACTTCTTGGTCACCTGACGGGTTTTAAACAACTGTTGGATTTGATGTGCCACTTCCTTCTCCCAAGCCAACACCATCACACCCGTAGTTTCCTTGTCCAGCCGATGACACAGATGCAGGGGCTCTGCCTTGTGGCCATGAAGCATCTTTGCCAGGATAGGCAGTACATCATTGATGCAGAGCTGGACTCCAGGGCCACCTAAGAAGGGAAAAGCCAGAGGTTTGAGGAACCAGGAAAAGATTCCACCAAAAATTCTATTTGGGAACAAAAAGCCCTTTCCAGATTGTTAATGTTTTATAGAGCCTTGCTACTTCTAGTGTGGTCCAAGGACTAGCAGCATCAGTATACTCAGAAAGCATGCTGAAATATAGTCTGAGGTCCCCAACCCAGTCTACTAAACTGCAATCTGCATTTTAACAATATCCCCAGGTGATTGATAGGCATATTAAAGTTTGAGAAGCACTGACCTAGAGCATGTAGTTATCTTCTTATACATACTTTAAAAAAAAAAAAAAAAATCTTATATACTCATCCTAAAATCAGCAACCAAAATGGAGAGGGTCTGATATAAGCAAAGGCTTGAGAATTTGGAAGTAAACGCTAGTGAAAAATATAAGACCACAAAGCCTTCCTAAGGCATTAGATAGGAGTGGATAAAAGGATGGCTTTAGGGTTAGACATTTCTGGGTCCTACGCTGTGTATACTCCCAACTAGCCATTTGACTGTGGACAAATAACTTAATCTCTCCCACCTTCTGTTTTCTTATCTATAAAATGTAAATATTGGGATACTAACTACTTCTTGGGGTATGGGAGGGCAAGATAAAGAGAAAAATTCACACAAAGCGTTTGGCAATATCTGACTTAATTCTTTATCTTTATAAGCTCAAACTTTCCCCTAAGTCCCAAAAGGCATTCCCCTCTTCTAGTTAAAATGTACCTTTTTACTTAGAAGAACTCTTTCACAAATGTACTTTTTAAATGTCAATTTTTCTTGATTCACCTCACCAGTCTCTGACAACGATTCAACATTTATTCAAAAATATTTGAGTGTCCATTAAGTTCCATGCACTTGGATTTTATGATACATATTCCATAAATTTGTTTTTTCTTATCTATTATTTCCTCTCTCCCAATTTTGATGGTAAATAACTTGAAGACAAGGACCACCGTTGTCAACAGCAAAAGCTATACAGCTGTCGCATTCTCTATAGCATTTACTTACTTGGGGTCTACAGACACAGCATTCCATGAATCACTGTTGCGTGCCATAGCAGTACATGAAATTCAATAGTTAAAACTGATTTTGGAAAACGAGTGCTGTCTTATTTGTGTCGTTGGTAGTCTTCCATATAGAATATTGCTCTATACAGGTTCAACCAATTTTGAATTCAAGATGTGAGACAGCCCCACCGGGAATGTGGCAAAAAGCATCAGCAGGCACATGCACAGCTCCCTTTCCCAATCCTTACCATGCACAGGGACACCATAAGGCTTATTGATGACCACAAGGTCCTTGTTCTGGTGGAGAATGCCTCGGCTCAGTGCCTTAGCAAGCACGTTGGGGTGGACTCGCTGCAGCTGTTGTGTGAACCGCACTAGTTCTCGCACTCTCCGCTGAACTGGATTTGCCGGCACCTGGTGGGAGGGGGGAAGAAGCGGTAGGGAATGCCAGATAAAAGCTTTCAATGAAACGTGGGTGAAAATTCGGTAAAGAATGACTGTATTTTTGCATTAAATTTGCTTCTTCCTCGAGTAATTTGAGAACAGAGGTGTGTGTCTGTCCCTCTAAAGTGTCTATGTCGTGCTCTGACCTGCCCGGCAGGAGTCAGACTCTGCCCACAGGAAGATACCGTACCGCTAGTTTCCCCTCCGCTTTCTCCCCTTTCTCCCACCACAATCCACGACATTTTCTTGATACCTGTCAGAGGCTCCTCCTACCTCACTCGGGCTGGGAAAATCAGTGGGCATATTATGTCTTGGGAGTCGCGGTCCCTTCTGGACTCACCGGCTCCTTCTTTTGTTCCTGTTTCTGGGCTCGGAGCCTCTCAGCTAATCGCTGGGCATCCAGGGGCCTAGAGGCAGCGGCGGCAGAACAAAATAGCTTTGAGACGAGAATGAAGAAATTATCCAAACGTTGGCCCGTACCCCAGACCAAGAGACCCGGCACAACACAACTGGGCGCCACCATCTTGTCAACCAGGGAGGACCGAATCCAGACCACGTGGAGAATAGGTTGGGAGAGGGACCCGACCAGCAAGAGGGAATGGGTGGTCCCGTGAGTCACGTGACGGACGGGGCGGAGCACAGGGCGAGTCACGTGGGGCGTGTGAGCGCTAAGTGCGGCTGCGCGGGCCGGTAACTTCAGCTGGACCGGCGGTGTTTGGAGAAGATACGGTGAGTGTGTGGGGAAACCGAGCTAGAACTGGGGAATGCTGCCGCCTCAACGGTATAATGTTTTCCACGCACCCAGGATTTTTATTTTCTCCGAGCACTGCTCTGGGAAATCGTTTCTTCCTTTGGGAGACGATCTTACTCAGAAACACTTCCCCGCCCCCGTAGAAGCGATGCCTCATAAACGTTCACCCCTGAGCTTTCGCAGGCACCTACCTCGTCTCTCCTGGCAACCGCATCCCCGGTGTTCGTCTAGTCCCCTAAGGGACGCATCGTGTCCTCTCTCATCTTCTTACCCCTAGACCTTCGGAGATGCCTGGATCTCTATATCTCCTCAACGCCCCTTCTTCTAACCTCTTTGTTTCACGTTGTAATCTGTCCTCTCCTAGAGATGATGGGAGACCCTTCCGTTATCTAGGGGCCCAAACCCGTATTTCCTTTCTAGGAAGCACCTTGGGCTTCTGTCCTTCAGGAGTTCTTTTCTTGGAGTCTTCTCCGCTTACCCTCATCCTGCTCCTCCCAAAGATAAGACTCAACTACGAGACACGGACATTACATTCTCCCTTCTGCTTCCTTTATTTTTTCCTCCTCCATAGTTTATAGTCGCCCAAACCCTCTCTCTCTCATCTCCAAATTGCGAGAGACCTCCTCCGCTTTCACTAAGGGATTGCTGGAAAAATAAACATCTGGTTGAGAGGGTAGTGTCAAAATACCTTGGGCTATACCTGCCATTTGTTAAGAAAGCTGATGCCGAGTTCTGAATGGATGTCCTGAAAACTAAAGGATCTGTACTGACGACAGAAGAAACAGTTTTTTAAGGCAGCTTAGAATTGAGGAGTTAGAATAGGTAGTTGAGTTAGGTTTGGAGGTGTGGGCACCTTCAAAAGGGATTGGTAGGAGGGAGCCACTTTGGGCATGAAACCAAAGTTGAACAAGTGGAGCAAGCCTAAAGAAGACTGGATGGAAGAAGAGTTTAAACTAGATGTGATGTGGGGAATTTTTGTAGCTTCTTGAGCAGAGGGGAGACTCTTTGAAAGTGAAATTCTAAAAATGAGTGTGGTACGTGAATGCAGGTTGAAAAGGAAAGAGCTTTGGGTAGCAGGGAAATCACCTAGGATGCTGCAGTCTAGGCAGTCAGTAATTGAGGTTATGTCAGTGGCCATTGTTTCCCAACACTGAACTGTCCTTTGAGTTTGAATTGATTATTTATTGTTGGCAGCTGGTGTTGAACTGTGAGTCCTTTTCTGACTTACTCATTCTTTTATCCCCACACCTGGCACGTCGTAAACTCATAAATATTTGTTAAAAGCCTGCAGTACCTCAGGGACTGTGTTAGGTGTGTCAGAACATTATAAATTGTCTTATTTCTGTCAGTGTTTGATGTGAAGAATGGAGTAGGAGGGCAAATATATTTGTGAAGAGTGGGAAAGAAGGTTTGTGAATGTTTCTGTGAAAGGCCAGTGATCAGGATATAAATAAAAAGAATTGTAGGGGAGATTGGGAAACATCTGCTGCTCCCCCCACCCCCCTTTTTTTTCTGGAAATTAGCAGGTAAGATATGGATCTCTTCCCTAAAATAGTTACTACCTTTTACTGACATGCTCCAGACCCAGGTTCTATTTTCAACAAACAGTGGCATATCACATTTTACTTAGGTATCTGAAGCCTTCTTTCCCAAGAACTGCACTTGCTGCATCCTAATGAGAAAAAAAAAAAAAATATGTATAATTCCTGAAATTTGAACATTAGGACTTAAATCCACACCATGCTTTAATTACAAACTTGTAATTGAAGTGTAAGAATTCTTATACCCTAAAACTGTTTAGGGTATAAGACTTTTATGGTTTTGTATAGGGGCTGGAAGAACCTCTTTCTACCTTAACCTGTGCTTAGGACATTCAAGCAATGACAGCTATTCTTGGCAGGAAACAAAATGCAGAACCAACTCAGATGTCATTGCTAGTGACACAGAGCTTATGTTCTTGGATTTCAGGTTCACCCAAAGCATGCACTGTCCTGCCTAAGAATAAAAACACTGGTTATCTGTTTTTCTGGAGAAGGAACTTTAGGATTTTCTTGGCTGAAACTGCATAAAAGTATCCTAAGTTTTTGTTTGCTTATTTGTTTTGTATCACAGTACAGCTTTAGCCAATATGGGTACAGAAGTAACAAATTCTTAATGTTTTTCCTATGCATCTAGGGGAATTGCACTTAGAGTATGAAGATTATCTTCTGTTTGTTTAATCTCTGTTTTGCCTCCTTCCACTTCCTCCTTCAGTTGATCCTGTTTTAGGCAGTTAATTTTTCCAACTTCTGCAACAATCTCACATTCTTATTTTTTAAATGAGGACTTCTCTTGTTTGGAGCTTCAGTACATGGAAGAAAATTCCACTAGTAGTGTATTTACTTATTGTTACGGAGTACAGCTCTGTTGAAACACAGCCTATTTATATAAATATATCATGATATGTGCTCCCAAAATTACTGTATCAAGAAGAACTTGATAACTAGTTTCTAAGGATATTTCTTAATCTATGCAAGAAAAAAAGATTGCCTTGAAATTCCGTAAGTATAAACAAGAACTGATTATTAAAGGAACTTATGTTTAAGTATCACAAATTTAAGATTAATTAATGGCATTAGGTTAAATTCTTCCTCTATAAACAATGATTTGCTAGTTACAGATTAATCAGAGATTCCATTTCCTTGAGGAGTACTTGGGCGTTGTTTTATGAGACATTAAAAGAAGCAATTAGCAGGAACTTCCTGGATGTGCCCTGGAAAGTACCATAGTTGGAAGCCAGGAGGTCTAGGTACAGTATTAGTTCTGCTGCTCGTGACTATAAGTAATTTGGGTGTCAGTTTCTTGTCTTTAAGAAGAAGAACCTTACACCTGTGAGCTTCTAGTCTACCAACATTTTCCACACATGTTTAAGTACTTGCCTTTTGACCTTAACAAATGCAATATTATCTCTAGCACCTTATTTCAGACTTATCTCAAATACATTTACCACTGGCACAGAGAATCAAGATTTGCTTTTAAACCCAGAATTTAACCGTATGCTATCTGGGCTGACATTTGTATGTGGAGATAACTTAATTGAGTGGTGGTAGGTAAAACCTGACAATATCCTATGTGAGCATGGGAGGGGGTGCATATAGAAAAAAAATATATCAGAAAACAATGGTGTACACCCATAGCATGGGTATTAGTCCTTATTTCCGTACTAGCAGTTGAAAGGAATTCCATTGTACGTTTGACCTTCATTAAATATTTATGCAGCTTAGAATAGTGATCAAAGCAGGTCTAGCTTAAACCTGCTTCCCAAACTTTTTCATACCATGGGACACATGAAAATAGTTGTTCTCTCTTGGGGGAAAACTGGAGGTATCCCACAGAAGGTAACCTTGGAGCTCCAGCAGCACCAGAGGCTGAGGGGATGCCTTTTGCGCACCACATCTAACTAATAGGAAGGAAGGTCAGCTTTACACATCCTGGATCTTGGACCCAAAATTCTGTGTAACAACAATCAAGAAGAACTGTATCATTGGCTATTTTTATTAAATTGATCTCTAATCTGTTTCATGTTTATCCTTTTAGGTAGTTTATATTTAAAGACTGTACTTGTCCTTACAAAGTAGCCTTTCTGAAAGTATCAGTTATTGTTGTTGTTATGTGCCATCCAATCAGACTGACTCATAGCAACCCCTCCTTGGGTTTCTGAGGCAGTATCACTATGGAAGTAGATTGCCCAACCTTCCTTCCGAGGAGCGGCTGGTGGGTTTGAACCGCCAGCCTTTTGGTTAGCAGTCAAATGCCTTAGGAACTATGCTACCAGGGCTCCCAGTATCAGTTATAGTTAACCAATAAAGTGATGGGAAATGCTTTTGTAATGATATTTTGGCCTCACAGATGTGAGTAATCTTGTTATACTTATATATAAAAGATGATATCTACAGTCCAAGATCAGGAGTCCAAGGAGTATGTGGATTTCTTTATATTTTCTATTATACAAATAACACAGAAAATATAAAAAATAGAATGGGAAAAAAATCACTCATAGTTTTGTTTCCCAAGTATCATTAATATCCTGGTTCTCCCCTTAGTCTTTTTCTTTAAAAAAAAAAAAAAAAAAACTGTAGCATTTCAAACATTTATGGAAATAGAAAATACTCTAAGGAACCCTCATGTATCCATCAGCCTGCTTGTGTTAACCAACACAGGCCTTGTCTTGTTCTGTACCTCTCCCCTTACTTACCAGCTGATTTTAAATCCCAGACATATAATTTTATCTGTAAACACTTCACCGTATATCCCTGAAACATGACTTTCTTTCAACATACCTACAATACCATTGTCACACCTTTAAAAAGAATGTATTCCTTAATATCATCCAGGAGCCAGTCAGTGCACAAATGTTCCTATCTCATTTTTTTTTTTTATTTTATTTTGATTTGGGTGAAGATTTACAGAGTAAATTCACTTTTCATACAGCAGTTCACATATACTTTGTCTCATGTCATTGACCAAAATTTATAATGCAACAGCTCTCCTCCCACTTCCTCCCCATAGTTACCCCTTCCCAGTGTCCATCCCTCCATACTCTCTAGCGCCCTGAGCTGTCTCCCTGTGCATAAGCAGCCCTTCCTTCTCCCATGATTGTTCTCTCCAGGGCGTGTATCTACTTGAGGTAAATGTTTAACTCACTTGCCTGTACTTTGTTTGGCTGGAAACCACAGGTGTGGGTTCAATTCCAGACCTGAAGGGCAGCTAGGGGCCATAGTCTCAGTGGTTCC